GGGAGTGAAGTTGTAAAAGTGTTAAGCATTGTAAAGTTTCTTTGTTCAATACAAAGCTTCCTTCATAAACACTTGTGTTCCTCCTTTGAATTCTTAAGTGGTCTACTTGGTACCGTTCTAAGACCTCAACGCTAGAGTGGGAGGCTGACTTAGTGTAAAAACAGCAAGGGCGGAAGTTGGAGACACTAAGTGCCGCACAGAGCTTGGAGAAAACAACAAGTCCGTGACAAGCCGCTACCATGTCTTTGCCGTAAGTCCCCTTGCACCTCCCAAGGAAAAAAAAAATCCGCCACCAGTCAACATCACGAAATTACCAGACGCCGCTTCCTCTACATCTAATTCTTCTCAACCCAACAAGAACCAGGCTTAGAAAAAAAAGAAGAGAAAATCCGCTACCAGTCAACATCACTAAATTACCAGACGCCCCTCCCTCTACATCTATTTCAAATTCCCGCTAATTCTTCTGGACCCAACAAGAACCAGGCTTAGATTGGCACGGTCTTTGATATTGTTATTGAAAAAAATACAGAACTGCAAGAGCCCGGGGGAGAAGTACCCATAAATGGTGTAAATCTTATAGGTGGTGCGAGATTGAGTGCGGCAGATTGGATGGTCACCATTTCAGAATTTTTTAAGTAGAAACATGAAATCTTTTGGCTTGCTTTTCTATTGAGAGAGATTTTTTTTTTTTTGCTCATGTATTGTGCGTTTAATTTGGGCCTCAATCTTGTCAATTATACAGTAGTTTGTAATTTTGGCCTCGGTTTGTCAATCTGATTGGTGCTTTGGGCTTATATTTTTGTAATTTACTTTTAGTAAAAAAAAAGAGTGAAAAAAAAAGAGACTAGCCATCAGTCCATTTTGACACCACTACATGTGTTTTGAGAAGAATGAGGAAAAAAAGAGAGACTTAAAGGTGCATGCACGTGTGTACTTTTGATTGGTCCCTTTGATTTTGGAGAATAGATGAGACAGGCTGTTGTAATTATTAGTGGTCAGCAATGAATTTAGGTAGAAGAAACAAGCAAAGGAGTTGGGATATTTTGATAGACTTGAAAAATGTGGTCCTTGAAGTACAAACTAATCACAAAATCCTCTACATATATAAAAGAGGAGGATTTGTTCCTGTTCAAATTGCATCACGCTGACCCATTGCTGACGTCATATAGCACTTAACAATTTTTTTTATTCCCCTCAACTTTCTGACTTTCTCAGTACACTCATTTCTCTCTCTGTCTGGCCATTTTTGCCTTTTTCCCCTTCATTCATTCGGTTTCTCTCTCTCTACGCCATTTCTCGCTATTCTCATTTTTGCCCCACTACGCCATCTCTTTGTCATTTTGAAAGCAAACTCCAGTAAATCCATGGTAATTCTTCCATGAATTTTCCTATTATTGCTTATATTGTTTTGCTTTTTATTCGGGTGGGGGTCTAAAAATTAGGATATTTTCATATGCTTTGGCCTACAAATATTCTTTCTCTTATTNTTAGGATATTTTCATATGCTTTGGCCTACAAATATTCTTTATTTTATTTTTTATGTCTAATCTTGTTTTTGAGCTTCCTATTGAAAAAAGTTACGATTGTTGAGAGTACAGAAGCCTGATTTGTAGTGAAGAGTTGAATTTTTACCTTTTGATTTCTAGGGTTTGGCTTTGTTTATCTTTTATTTTGATTAATTTGAGGGAGAAAAGAGTCTAATTTTTGGCATAAGGTTTGGATCTTTTTTTATTTATAGGGCTTAGGCTTTGATTTCCCACCATTTCTTTCACCCCTTGCTTTATTGGAGCCGCTATAAACGGATTTTGGTACTTTTTATTGGTTTTTTTTCGTTGGTTTCTCTGCTCTTCGGCTTACTTTCTTGTAATGGATATATACGATTGTTTTAGAATTTTCCTTTACTGATGATGACGTTGAGTTTAGATATATGTTTATATACAGTCAAGTCCTTTACCCTTATCTGAAATTTGAGCTTAATTCTTTGCAGTAATTGATGGATAAACATTATAATTGGAGCTTGATTCTTTCATGTACTTTGTGGTTCCTCTTTCAAAAGAGTAGTTTCCATGCTTTAATGTATGTGCATTGCATAACTTTTCATTTGCCGAGTATACATTTTCTCAGTGTTGTGTGATATACATTTTTACATTTGTTTATTTGGTAACAGTGATACACTTTATGTCAATGCTGAACTGGCAGCCAACCTTCAATTTCAAATGTTATCTTTCTGTAAATTTTCTATTAGGATTTACACGTTAAAAGTGGAATTTTAAAGTTTTGAAGTTATTGTCAAATATAGATGCATTTGAGTTTCTGAAATTGTTCTTATATTAATTTATGATCTGAGTTATGTTTAAATACACAAAGTTAAAGG